TTCCAATTTACTATAGTTTCGATCTCGATAATACAAAAATGTTTATCTGGGGCCGAGTCTGTGGCCAGTTGTATCAAGCTCGTTTAGCTTAAACGGTGGTTAAGCTCAAAACAGAAAGCAACTAAGCAAGTCATCGATTTATTCAACAATCAAGCTAAACGCTTCAGTAGTGGCCGTGTAAAAAACGCGGCCGTACATATTAGATATAATTCGTTTTATCAATTCATTAGAATGATCATTTTATATGATAACCCGTTTATACTGACCTTGCATATAAATATCTAATGAAATACAAATTGTCAAACACAAAAACCTGGTGGTCATCGAGGTTTATGACGATTACGGCTGATTTGTAATTTATCCGTTCTTCTTATAATCGTTGTTTACAATAAATTGCAAAAATAATGCCCAAAATTCCAAATGCACGCAGTCAAAAGTGATGTAAAATCTACAAGAAATCTCGTGAATACAAAATTACTTATGTTAAACAAATAAGTCCAGATGTCGCCTTCCCCCCCTAAACACATGATAAGTCAATGCGGCCATCTACTTCCGGCTGGTCGAAATTGACCAGCCGGAAGTATGTCTGCTGCCAGATGTTACAAGTCTCTCTTCTCTTTCCTCCTCTCCCCCTCAGCGGTACGTCATGTAACGTACAATATAGTGGGTCTCCACAAAGAGAGACTTGGAGCAAGTCTACGCCCCCTCCCGCAAATTCCCCTCTTTGGACTGATGAAATTCCCCGTTTTTTTTAGATCAGTGAGGAGGTCCACCCATATAACACGATGGAGCATAGGCTCGCGCCCGTGATCATTGATGAACTTTAGACTTCGCTATTGACTCAGGAGGTCGGGAATCTTCGAGTTAAGCCCTTCGAGTTAAGCCCCTCGAGTTAAGCCCTTTTCGAGTTAAGCCCCGACCACGCCCTGTTTTGCCATGACCACACCCTTTTTCCAAAAGGGCTTAACTCGAAGAACGAAACACGATTTGGATCATTCGAGTTAAGCCCCGGGGCTTAACTCGAAGTTTGACAAAACGTTGTTGCTCGAGTTAAGCCCCGACTTTTGAAGTATGTCAACGAGTGCAATATTAAATTGTCAAATTTTCAATACAAAAAAGCCAAAGGCAAAGCACAGAAATTTTCCCAAAAAGAACTTGTATATCGCTAATGTAATACGATTATCTAAAACAATCACAACTATTATCGTTAACTATATTTTAGGTTTTTCATATTTAAATTAATATTAAATTTAAGAACACTCAACAGGTAATTACTTTTAGTGGATCGTTTATCTACAACAAAACAACAAAACAATATTTTAATTATAAAGTAGATAGAATCCCTTGTTTGAATGTGCACAATATCCAAAAGTTAACAGTTTTACTGTAACAAAAAAGGTACAACCTTTCCCATCACCTTGAACAAAACTAATCTATTAAGAAAATGATCGAAAATGACAGCACGTAATAACTAAAGAAAAAGAGAGGAAAGGGAAGGAATTTCGGTATAGAATGATCTGTCTTTGACAACTTGCGCCCAGAGACTCAAGCCTCATACGCACATATACAGTAATTTTATTAGCCAAATGAATGGTTATGAATCACGAATGGTTTCATTTGTGTACAAATTATCACGGGGAGAAATTGTTACATTTGAGTAAAATACCCAAATGTAACAATTTATCCCCGTAATAATGACGCTACGCCATCATTTCGTTTATAAAATTACTAATCGCTCAGCAAATATTCCATTTTTAATAATACAAGTCAACGTAGCGCCATTATTAGGGGGATAAATTGTTACATTTGGGTATTTTACTCAAATGTAACAATTTTTCCCCGTGATAATTTGTTTACCCAAATTGAAACAATTCGTGATTCGTAACCATTTGGCTAATAAAATTACTGTACATGTGCGTATGAGGCGCGAGTCTCTGGGCGCAAGTTGTCACAGACAGATCATTCTATACCGAAATTCCTTCCCTTTCCTCACTTTCTTTAGTTTTTACGTGCTGTCATTTTCGATCATTTACTTAATACATCATAGGCAGCCCACTAAACGACTGAATTTAAATTAAAACTACAATGAAATTATAAAATTTAACGAAAATAATCACAAATTAGCGAAATATATTGCAAAATGTAGCTTATATTAAATCTCCACTCGATTAACCTATCGGCGAACTGACGTATATTAAAGTATACCTAAGGTTGGCAAGGGGTTTCAACTGATTGAACTACACACAAGAAATATATCCGTAATATTTTAAAAAGCAGAAAGAAACTAGCCCTAAAAACAACATAAACATAAACAAGGATAATTTTACTAGCCTGTCTGTAACTTTTTTTTGTCAAAGTACAGCTTTAAATGTTGATAAATTTACGAAAGTTTACGGTGTTTTCTCGATATTTTTCCCTGTGACTATGCGGGATGCTCGCATCCTGCTACTGGACAAATTTTTCAAAATAAAACTCTGCTGTTCATAGGCTGTAGCAAGTTTCGTCGTCAGCGATTTCGTTCGTTACTTAGGACGAAACTCGCTACAGCCAATGAACAGTAGAGTTTTATTTTGAAAAATTTGTCCAGTAGCAGGATGCGAGCATCCCGCATAGTCACAGAGAAAAATATCGCGAAAACATCGTAAACTTTCGTAAATTTATCAACATTTAAAGCTGTACTTTGACAAAAAAAAGTTACAGACAGGTTAGTAAATTATCCTTGTTTATGTTTATGTTGTTTTTAGGGCTAGTTTCTTTCTGCTTTTTAAAATATTACGGATATATTTCTTGTGTGTAGTTCAATCAGTTGAAACCCCTTGCCAACCTTAGGTATACTTTAATATACGTCAGTTCGCCGATAGGTCAATCGAGTGGAGATTTAATATAAGCTACATTTTGCAATATATTTCGCTAATTTGTGATTATTTTCGTTAAATTTTATAATTTTATTGTAGTTTTAATTTAAATTCAGTCGTTTAGTGGGCTGCCTATGAATACATTAGTTTTGTTCAAGGTGATGGGAGAAGGTTGCACCTTTTCTGTTACAGTAAAACTGTTAATTTGTCGATATTGTGCACATTGAAGCAAAAGGAACGAGTTAGGATTCTATCTACCTTATAATTAAAATATTGTTTTGTTGTGGATAAACGATTCACTAAAAGTAATTACCTGTTGTTAAATTTAATATTAATTTAATATGAAAAACCTAAAATATACCTAAAATACGATAATAGTTGTGTTTGTTTTTGATATAATCGTATTACATTAGCGATATATAAGTTCTTTTGGGGAAAATTTCTGTGCTTTGGCTTTTTTGTATTGAAAATTTAATATTGCACTCGTTGACATACTTCAAAAGTCGGGGCTTAACTCGAGCAACGACTTTTTTGTCAAACTTCGAGTTAAGCCCCGGGGCTTAACTCGAATAACCCAAATCGTGTTTCGTTCTTCGAGTTAAGCCCTTTTTGAAAAAGGGCGTGGTCTTGGCAAAACAGGGCGTGGTCGGGGCTTAACTCGAAAAGGGCTTAACTCGAGGGGCTTAACTCGAAGGGCTTAACTCGAAGATTCCCGACCTCTGACTCAGTGACTCCAGACGAAGGGCCTTCCGGCTCAAAACGTTGAAATTCTCCTTATATTTTCAGATAGTTACATCCCTACCAACGAAAGCTTCCTCATACACATGTATACCTAACATAGAGTTTTTATTAAACATCCGCATGCAGGCTTAAAATAGAGTTTTAACAAATCACCCGTAGCCTTTTGTTGAATATTCGAAAATTTTATTCGAAATTATTATGCCTGGTTTCCATATGGTCGTAATGCATGTCGTAAAAATGGAGTTGCGATCTTTCTCAACTGCCAGTTTATAATAGTTTATACCTTCATGTGAACCACATATCATTATAAGATTTTCAGTTCTAAAATTTTCTATTTCGGCCGATGAGAAAGATCGTGACCGTCAATCTTTACGACCGTTACGACCATATCATGTGGAAACCAGACTTTAAAGGGCGCAATTTGTACCTACAGTTTGCACAGGGGGCTCAACTACTGTCAGTAACAAGTGTAAAATAATCAAAATAATAAACTTACTTTAAAAGTGTGCATAACTTATACGCAAGAATGTCATTGGAGAAAGAGCAAAATAATTATCTATATGAAGTATTATAGAATCCTCAACAGGTAAGTAATGCGGGCGCGTACGGGGTAATAGTATCTTTAATAATAGATAAATTATTAGGAAGGGTTGAAACACTGGTCACGTGATTTTTAAAATGCTTCTAATTTAACCGTTTCGACATAATTTGATTATTTTACAACGTATTTAGCATTCTCTTAGACGAACAAAGATATCTACACAGTAAAGAAATAACAGAGATAATTAAAACCTTTTCCTAAATGATTTTTAACTGCAGGCTTTCTTCGTAATTTTCACGATATGTCTACCAAGTTCGGCATTCGTGAGCAAGATGCTATAGGATTTGCATTAGATTTTAAAAATAGCGGTGATTTAATAGACTATAGTTTCAAGATTATGTTTTTAAAAATGTAAATAATCAGAAATTGCTCTATTTAGCCCCCTGTTGTAGTATCTCAACTGAAATGTCCACATTTTATTTTTTAACCAGAGTCAAATAATGTTTTTAGATATTTAAGATCAGAGGTTGTTTGAAAGCAAATTACTATAATAATATGTCCACATGATGTAGCAGAACGAGTTGAAAAAAGTTTGGGAATTTATATTATTATCAATGCTAAAATAGTTTGCTACCTTCCCCATGCAGTTCTGAAGATGGCTGAACGTGAAATTTAAATCTATAGATTCTTCCACCTGCACGCGATTCTCTCTCTAGAATGGTCACCTAAATTCAAATAAAAATCAAATAATGTGATAACACCTTCCATGGCAATCTGTTCAATATATCAGTTCTAAGCTTTCAGGAACAATACCAGAGGAATGAAAATTGGCTAATATTGTGCCCGTGCACAAGAAAGGTGACAAAGAGTATGCTGAGAACTATCCCCCTATTTCCCTATTATGTATTACATCAAAAGTTCTAGAACGCTGTGTCCTAAATAACATCACAACTCGTTTGTATGATGCAGTTAACATATGTCAACATCATCAAAAGCTGCAGAAAGACTATGGATTTGGAGGTAATCTTCTCAGATGGTTCCGTTGCTATCTTAAAAATCGTAAACAAAAGCGTAGCAGTGTTATGAGCAACGTCCGACCTACTTCCCATCACATCTGGTGTACCGCAAGGTTCAATACTTGGTCCAACATTATTCCTCCTCTACGTCAATGATCTGCCAAGAAATGTGAAGTCAAGTCGTATTGCAATGTTTGCAGACGATACCAAAGTCTTTAAGGCAATATATACAATCGCCTAATGATGCATTAAAGTTACAGGAAGATATCACTAACTTGGGAAACTGGTCATCTGAATCTGGCTTACAATTTAACGAAATAAAATGCAAAGCACAATCAATCACTCGTAAAACCAATCCAATCCATACCTATGTTATAAATGGCGCTCCACTAGCATCAATTAAGCATGAACGTGATCTTGGTGCCTGGATATCTTCCGATTTGACATTGAACAAGCATGTTAACGAACAGTGTGCACAAGCAAATAAAATGCTTAGCTACATCAGACGGAACATACGAACAATTTACAGCATTAAACAAGAAGAACCATTTACTTGTCACTGGTACGATCACATCTTAGTTACGCGACGCAAGTCTGGACACCTCAATTGAACGCCTGTTGAAACTAGAAAAACCCCAAAGATGTGCAACAAAATACATTCTTAATCTTCCATTTATCAGTTCAGTAAGTTACAAGTCCAGATTGCAAACTTTTCATCTACTACCAATATGTTACTGGCATGAATACCTTGATATATATGATTAATTTCTTTAAAGTAATTCATATATAGCATTACCAACTCGTCCTTTGCATTGCATACCAAGACAACAAGACATACAAGATCGTCCACTAACACGAAATGTGTAAAGTACAAAGTCCCGCGGTGCAAAACAACAACCTACCAAAAATCATTCTGGATAAGAACTATCAGAACATAGAACACATTGACGGACATACTTGACTTCAGTATGGAGAGTTCAACACATTCAAGTCTGTAATGCGAGAGTACTACCATACTGCATTAAAGAACACATACGACTGTGGTGACGCACGAACTTTTAAAACGATTTGGCCGAGATGCAATAGAGCAGGGACTTTAACGAACTCGATGAGCTGTTGTTTTTAGTCTCCATGGCTTAATTGTTATTTGTGTTATTGATATTTTGTCTCTTACCGTTTTGGGCCCGCAGTAATTGGTTTCATACTGTTGCGGATATCCAACCATCAACTTATAGTTTATGTCATTGTATTATGTATGTGTGCGTGTGTATGTGTGTGTATTTGTATATCTTTCTGTACAATAGTGTACCTGATGGACAAGCAATTAAATTAATTAAATTAAATCTCTGTGAGAACTTTCTCAATGCGAATCGAACCCAGTCCTCATGTAAGAAGAGCAAAAGTCAACGCGCTGCCGAAAATCGTGGGTTTTCTCCGGGTATTCCGGTTTCCTCCGCACAGGGGAAGTTGACAGGGTGGGTTAGGTAAAATGGCCTACAGTAATTGGCATATGTTGTTGTGGTGACCCTGCCCTAGTTGGCAAAGGTAAATAAATAAAAATATTAAACATCCGGCTCTGTCTTTTGTGCAAATATAAAGTACAGTTGTCTGTGATTTCACAGACAATGTTATGGTACATATTACATGTACACAAATTTCAAGGATTTTTAAACTCCATGCAAGTGTGTTAAATTTACTTCGATTGCATAGTAGAGTAAATATTTTGGACTAAAATCTACTCCAAAATTAATCTAAAACTACTCCACTTTGGTATGTATTCCAAATAAATCTTTTAACAGTCAATAAGAAATCTCCATCGAACAGTTAAAAATAATTCGAAAAACAGACAATATTACCTTATTTAAAACTCGTTAATAAACTTACTTCATGTCCTGCGCGTTTTAATTCGTACGCTGCTGAAAGTCCAGAAATTCCAGCTCCAATTACCAACACTTTTTTCGGAAATTTAGTCTTCATACCTGGACGCTTTGTTCTCTATTTTGTAAGATTATAAATTTATTATAAGTTACTCATAAGTTTAAATTTATAAATTTACAAAGTACAGTAAGTTAATTCTAGGGAATTTCGCATGGGTCATAGGAAATAGAGAAACTAGGTAGATTTTGCAATGCGAAACAAGGGAATATGATGAAATCTTGGTGTACTATACATGTGAACAAAGGAAAAATTCCAAGGGAACACGCGGGAACCCCATGGAAGACAGTCATCATGATTTACGAATTGCCATTTCTCTGGTCGATTTTCAATTCCTTTGATACGTGGTAAACATTATCTGATAGAAACACTAACTGGAGATATTCGTCATTACAGAGGCGTGGGAAGCATCAAAAAGTTGGGGGGGGGGGGCGGTTTCGAGGGGCACTTTTACAATGAAAATGGGCTACATTAAGGAAGACTATCACCAGGCGGAAGAATTCAACGGAATGATGCTATTGGATGGTTGCTTCATTCTGCTAAAAATTTATCACCGCATGCATTTGTACAAGCTTGTGTAAATACAAATATATGATAAAGACTTCGACCCAGCACCAAACTATATCCTGATTTCGACCAAATTAACCTAAAATATGAATAACCTGAAGGAAAACACTTTGTCAAATAATGATATGTACTACACCTGTTTCAACTCTCCGTAGTCAATTCCTAATTCTGCGTCGCTTCTAATGATTGGAGAATCGGGTTCCACGTCATAGTCATGATCATACATGTAGACTAAACCTTTTTTAACCAATAGTTCATAAAACATCTGTTTATGTAAGTTAATGGCTGGATGAGCACCAGGTAGAAAGCCAAGGTATCGTAGTGGGTCGGGCTCGTATTTTAACTCGTTGGCTACATTTGAACTTGGCTGATGCTGACCTTTTGTTATGCGGACGAATGGTACTTCGATAGTGAACTGGAATTTAGAGGAACACAAATAAGAAATTTTATTTCCTTCACATTCTACAACTAGATTTCCCTAGAATTTTTACCCACTTCCTTAGACTTTCCTAGACATGCAGCTATAGCCTTCCTTCGTCTCACATAACTTTCTATAGATGCTCTTCGACGTTTCAGTTTTGCTTGGCCTTTCATGACCTTTCCTAGCGTTCCTTGGATTTCCTTGATTTTTTAGCCTTCCTAAACATTTCTTCGCTTTACATAAGCTTATTTAGCCTCCTTTATCCTCTTCTAGCGTTCTTTAGCCTTCCATGAATTGTTTCAGCTTGTCGTAACATTACTTTCCTATAGTCTTTCCTGGTCATTATTATATATTTGAGAGCCTTCATTTAATACCCTAATCTTCCTTATCTTTCCCTAGCCTTTCTCAGCCCTACCTGTACTTTCTTACACGTTCTTAGTCTTCCCTGGACTAGTTCCTTAGATTTCCATAGGCATAGACTTCCCTATAGAGTACCCGTGACCTTAATTCCTACTCTTTTCTATATCTAGATCTCCCAGAGCTTCTTTGCATTCCTTAGATTCTTTTGCCTTTGTTTGCTTTCCTTAGATCTCCTTAGCTTTCTTTAATCTTATTTTACTCTCCTTAGACTTTCTTAGTTTCCTTTGCCGGGCGTTACTAGCTTTCATTAAGGCTTCAGTCTCTTCAGATGTGAGTTGCATTGATGAGAACCTCTCATACTGAAATCTAATTATATCAAATACAGCGAATGCTCTACTTGTGTATATTGAGAAGTATATTGGCAAATAATTCAATATACTCAATGCTTCTACAGGATGAGCCATGCCGCTTACGCATTGCGCACGCTCACTACTTGCAGTTTGAACGCTCTGGCATGGTTTTGATGTCCCACAATCGTGATGGTTTTGGTTTTGATGGTTTTGATGTCCCACAATATATATATATATATATATATATATATATATATATATATATATATATATATTTCATATTTTTATGTCTTTGTTTGACATTCGACAAAGCAGCAACACTCGCTAAGTACG